ATACGCCAAAATGATTCTTGAAATTCACGCACTGTAATTGGACTCACGTCGTTTACGGTTTGAATTTTGTTTATTGGTACTTTGTTAAAGACTCGAAAGATATATGATATTATTCGAACAATACGACGAAATGAGGAAAAATCGTCAATAATTTTATTGAATATATGTTCATCGATACCATTGTTGCTACATTTCAAGACTGTAGGTTTTCGTTGTTCAAGGTCCTTTGCGAGAAATTCAGTTTTTGATGTTTCTTTTGGCCATTCTGCTGATTGAAGCGACAAAAACTTTGGTCCACAAAACCAAATCGAATCCTTCAGCTCGCTTGCTCGACAGCCTCGAGATATTATATCAGCTGGGTTTTGCTTACTTGGGACGTGACTCCACCTAATGCCACGCGAAAAGTCCTGCAGTTCAGAAACACGGTTAGCTACAAAACAATTTAAAGTTGACGAATGCATCTTCATCCAATGTAACACAATTTTAAAATCCGTCCAAAAAAAGATTTCATTAACAAATGGTAATACTTTGGGTTTTATTTTGTTCCAAGTTTTACAAAGAAGTACGGCAGCGCATAATTCTAAACGAGGCAACGATACTGCTTTTATCGGCGCCACCTTTGATTTCGATATCAACAACGAAGATTTGTAAAAGCCATTATGCTTTGACCGAATATATATACAACATCCGAATGCTCGTTGAGAAGCATCGGCAAATGCATGTACCAGACTGTAGCAAGCTGATGATGTTAAAACATATCTTGGCACTTCAATGTGGTTAAGATATTCCAAATCAGATTGAATTTGTATCCATGATTGGATTAGAAGTGGAGGCAATGGATCATCGCAACCCAGTTAATGAATCCATAATTCCTGTATTAAGATTTTACACCGTATAACAATAGGACTCAATAGTCCTAAAAGATCAAAAATTCGAGCAACAACTGATAAAATAGTACGTTTGGTCGCAGCCTTTGACTCTTGTTGCTTATATTGAAAGCAAAAAACGTCATCTGATGGCCTCCACGCCAAACCGAGAGTTTTGGTAATATCATCTTCGTTTAAAAGAATTTGGTATTCGTCACTTGAGTTTACCCAATTTTTGTGGTTGGAGCTCCATTTTGCCAATTGTAATCCTGCATTTGCTGCTATTTTATTCACTTGTGATACTTTGATGCAAAGCTCTTCAGCTGTGTCTGCTCCCGTTAGCAAGTCATCAACATACAAGTCATTGCTCAAAACTGAAGCTCCAATTGGCATCTCCTTTTTATACGCATTTGCAAGGTAAGTCAGGCTTCTGATGGCCAGAAATGGTGCTGCTGACATTCCGTAAGTTACTGTGTTGAGCTGAAAAAGTTGCAGAGGTTCATTAACAGTATTTCTCCAAATAACTAATTGAAAATTACGATCTCTTGGATCAACTACAAACTGTCGATACATTTTTGATATATCCGCAGTCAGTGCATAGCGATGTAAACGAAATGTCAATAATGTCAAAATAAGATCCTGCTGAATTGTAGGTCCCACCATTAAGATTTCATTAAGTGATCGACCCGTTGATGTGCGTGCAGATGCATCAAATACGACGCGTAATTTTGTTGTGGTACTTTGAGGCCGCAATATGCAATGATGAGGTATTATATAGTGCGGTGTGATATTGTCAAAGTTGTCGACACGACTCATATGACCTAACATCAAATATTCTTGCATGAACTTAACATAATCCTCTTTGAGAGTCTGCTGACGCTCTAATCGACGCTCAAGTGAAAGGAATCTTCGTTTCGCCATTTCAAATGATTCACCTAAGACTTCTGGAGACTCTTTAAATGGTAATCGAACTTGTATTTGACCATTGCTTATAATTGTGGTATTTTCTACAAAATGTTTCTCACAATCCAACTCCTCCTTAGAGTAATTAATTTTTTGATCGCTTTCTAATTCTTCAATTTTCCAAAATTTTTGTAACATTGAATCTATATTAGACGACTGAATGTAGTTACAAGTGAGTGCCCGGACAGTAGGCGTATTTTTATATTGTCCTCCGATGATCCACCCTAATTCGGTATTTAATAAACATGGAAGGCTGGTGCCTAACGAAATTTTCCCATCTAATATTAATTCAAAAAATCCCTGCGTACTTATTAATAAGTCAATGTGTTGTGGTTTTAAAAATAATGGATCAGCTAAAACAAGGCCTTCAGGAAAATTCCACGATGTTGTGTCTATCAACTGCTCTGGATGGTTCAATGAGATGCGTTTAGTGACAGCGAATTGCGATGACCATTCAAATTTTGATATTCGAGATTTTATAGTTGCAGTTATTGAATGGCGAATTTGTGTTCTAACATCACCAATGCCTGACACTTCCTGGTTTATTCGCTCAAATGGTAATTGAAGTTGCTTTGCCATCTTTTCCTTGATAAAACTTATCTCTGAACAAGAGTCCAGTAATGCTCGTATAGGTTGGTATAAACCGTATTTATCGTTAATAAGTACTACAGCTGTGGGAATTAATGATCGTTGTTTAGTACCCGATACTAGAGAAATTGATGGAGATTGCGGAAAATTTAGTTGTCCAGGTGGACTGTCTGACAAATTTGGTCTCACATTTTGCTCAATGGGTTTGAATTTATGCAAACACGTATGATGCATACCATTGCCTATTCGACAGCGAGCTGTGGATTGACAATTTTTAACGACGTGCCCTTTGCGTAGACAATTTAAGCAAACAGAAAGATCTTTTACGAATTTGAATTTGTCGTTAAAAGTCAGTTTTACAAACGATGGACATGATCCTAGGCTGTGGTCTCCTCCATTACACTTCATACAATTGATTTTGGTGTTAACAAATGTGGTCAATTTTCTGTTAAAAGAATTATTTTCGGTATCATTTACTTTATCATTATTGTATCTTTTCGAATTGCTTTCCAGAAATTGACATCTTCGACTCAAAAGTGTGTAGCAACTTTCCCAAGATGGCAATGACTCAAAATCTTGCTGAGAATCATAAAAAATTTTAGTTTCGTTATCCACTTTAGACAATACTAAATGAATAATTATGGCGTTCAGAATGTCTGCTTCCGAACCCAACGATAGAAGTGAACCGAATAAAGCAGACACTGTATCTACAATATGCCTGAGTGTGATTGAGTCGCCCTTCGTCATATCTTTAATAAAAAAAAGGGAATTAATATGTTCCATAAAAATTAAGACCTTTTTGTCATATCTCAATTGTAATTGCGTTAGAGCCTTTGTATAATTTTCCTCGGTTATTTGAAATGGTTGTACTACGCTCAACGCCGCACCCGAAAGACAACTTAAAAGATAATTAAATTTATCAATTGTTGTTATCGACAGGTCGTTGTGAATTAAATTTGTAAACGCAGAGAAAAAATGTTTATATTCGCTGTATTTACTATCAAATCTTGGCAATTTCAATGCTGGTAAACGACTATGATGTGAGGAGTTGTTTAAAATCGACGAATTCAATACACTTGATTCATGTATCGGCTTTATTTTTTTATTGTTGATTGTGGACACAATAAGTGATTTTATGCTGAGATATATGTCCTCTAATTTGCTACGCCTATCATCATCCGGACATGCTCGTTCAATTTTACTTTGTATTTGACAAACTTCTGTAAAATACGATTCCAAAATTTGCAGTCGACATTCTAAAATGTTAACATCCACAAACGCTAATTCCTTCTCTACTTTCGCCTTTATGCTTAGCATGTTTCGTTCCACTGATGTTCGCTCTTGTTTTAGTGAAGAGAGTTGCTCAGTTACTGAGTCATTTCTTCGACGACTCATTTTTGCAAGTAAAACAATAAGTATAATTAATTTCCAAAAGAGTGTGATGATATGCACGCAATTGAGTCGAGTGTGTTTAAAAACCGCTGAATACGAATTTCACTCAAATGCACATGTGCTTGGGTACAAAGTCCGAATAGCGAACTGTTCAAAGTGCCGCTTTTTCAACCAAATAAACAATTAAGACAGCTCTCGATGCCGCCCGTCCTGTCACGGTCGCCAAAAATGTTGGAGTATAGTTTGTTTATTTTGTATGATAATTTACACAAGATTTTATTTTATTCAAAAATTTTATTACACAAGCTAATAATAATTTATAGTTCACAAGACATAATTTATATTATAAAATTCTGAAAAAGTTAATCGAAATTGTTTTGTATCTTTACTATAATTTATATGACTTTGTTGGAGGTGGTGGGTCGCACAGCACAATTTTATTATTTATTAAACGATTATTAATAACTAATTTCCAACAAAACCACCGATTGGCCATCCGACCATTCAGCGATCTTAAACGCGACTGCCTCATAGCGAAATTGCAAAAAGTACAAGAGCGCATTACGAGCGCGATGCGCTCTGTTGATTCTCTTGATTTCCTACAACAATTTTATTGCTATCAATATAAATGTCTTGAACTTGTCCTAGTTTTGCTAAAGAAATGTCCGCACCAGTGTCTACTAAAAATGTAGATATTCCACTGTTCATGGTAGATCTTGTGGAGATATATGAGGTTAAATTTAAATTAATATTATAGATTTAATATTATAGATTTTACTATTTTTATGTTTATCTACTGAGAATCGGGGCTACCTCGTTTTCCGCCAGGGTCATTCTAACACTCCTTTCAACATATTTCTATTATTAAAGGAATTATATCTCCTGAAGTTGTTTCTGTTGTTGTTATTATAATTATTGTAGTTGGTATTAGTTCTTTGGGAACTACCACGTCCACGATAATATCCGCGATTTCCGCGACTTCCGCGATATCCTCTATTTCTTGCAAATAATATTGTATTTGCGCTGCCTGTGGATTCCGTACAGCTATTTACAAAATTTGTCACTGCTTCATTCAAAGTATTGAAGTGTCCTACCTCCATTATTAATTTTACTTTATCAAAGGTGCAGTTCTTTGTCATTGCCTTTACCGCTGTTTGGGTTCCATATTTGCATGCTGTGTCCACTGGTAATCCATCCGAAATGTAGGCGCTTTCAAGAGATTTAGTAAGTTCCTCAATCTCTTTTGTGTAGAGGTTTGCAGACTTATTTTGCTGCTTTATATTCATTATTTTTGCAGTCATGGCTTCGACCGATTCTCCTTTTAGTGTATTAAGTAGTCTATTTATAATGGCCGTGAGAGTTGTTTCATTGCTTAAAAGATTTCTGCAATAGCCTTTCAACTTTGTTTTCACCAAGCTTACTGCAGTAGCTTCTTGAGTTTCCATAAAAGACTCTACCAAACGTAAAGAGTCTATAAATGCCGTTAAAGATTCTGGTTTTCCCTCAAAATCGGGTATGATTTTAGAGGCTGTACTTAAAAACTCAAATGCTGTTATCGGCATTTTGTTACTTTTTATCTTTATTTGCGTAGTCACTATACAATCTGCAAAGTTGATTTGCTCATGCAAAGTATTTGGGAGATTTTCCTCAAACCCTTTCCTTGCAGCTATATTTAGAATTTTTTTCTTTACAAGCCGTAAAGTAATTCTCAGCTTGTTTTTTTATGTTCGAATGTTAATCTAGAGTAGTTTACATTTAATAACACTCTGATACATTCTAAACTATTAATCAGGATATTAGTATGTTTACTGATTGTGTCCTGAGTTATTTGCCTATTATTATTCAAGCACTTATATAACTTGTCAAAAGTTTGTTTATGAATATTGATTTTTTTGACAATTTGCAACCAGTCCATTTATTAATTGTTAAGTGAAGAATATATATATATTATATATATATATTGAACTAACATGAACTAATTAATTAACTGAGGCTAATTCTCTAAAATCTATCAATAATAAAATATAATAGTGACGCTAACAAAACGTAGTTGAAAACCAACAAACAAACAGAGAAATACCATCAATGCAACAATGCAAGTGCAACAGAAGTCTAGCAGATTGTTTACAAAAAAAAATTTTAATTTTAATTATTTTATGGTTATTTAAAAAAAAAAATGGTTATTTTACTATTTATATATGTAGCGCATAAATAACAATATTCAATTCATTAAAATTAGTTATGATTTTAATTTATAATTTTTATTAGTTATGTTGTGATGTAAAGTTAACAGTAGTTTCTTTCCTCAAAGTAAGAATTAAGACCGTATTTTTGGATAATTAATATAGTAAAGTTGAAAGTTTTGTTTAATAATAATTAATAAATGCGTAGCAGTCTTTATGGGGACATTTTCCAATGACACATAAAAGTAGGCAAGGTTATTTACAGTTGCAATAATATTAACAAGAAGTCAAAAAGTCAGTAAGACAAATTGTCGAAGTGAAATGCTGATTTTTGTTAAGATTTATTATCTGGGTCAATTGTAAATGACTTTGAAAAAAAGAAATGGTAACAAGGTGAAATAGACTGTGAAATACGTAGAATGAATAATTTTGCGAATTACGCAAAAATTATTATTACAAAATAAATTTTAATTTTTAATTAATTTTTAAAAATTGCTGGGTTATTGGGGCATGTCTAATATAAAGGTCATATTAGAGAAAGTTTTAAGCGTAGGTGAAAGCAGCTCTATATATATATAGAGTCTGTTTTATTAATGAGGTCAATCGTGGAAAGTAAATCGTAGAAAGTCAATCGTGGAAGGTGAATCGTAGAAAGTGAGTCGTAGAAAGTCAATTGTAAGAAGTTAATCTAAATAAGTGAATCTAGAAAAGGTAACCTTAAGTTAATCTTTAAATAATTCTATAAATTATTCTATGAGAGAATTCTATAAGAAAATCTCCAAGTGATTCGATAAGAAAAACTGTAAGAACAGTTCATAATGAAGTTGGTAAAAGTATTGAACAAGTGAAAAGATGCAGTGAAGCATTTGACAAGTAATAGATGAATTAAGACAAAGTCCAGTAATGAATAAAGATAAAGTAGTGAACAGGGATAAAGTGGAAGAAAAGACTCAGCTGAAGTGAATCCTCAAAGATATGTCAAGCAAACAATATTTAAAAGTGGACATAAGACAAACATAATAAAACAAATAAAGTGAACAATATTAAGAAAACTATTAAAATTTGGATTTAGAATGAACAATCTAGTAAATAAAATATAAATTGTGATTTATATAAGAAAATAGTGATATTGTAATAATAAATTATGGTTGTAACGACACTTTTGGGTGATGTTCAAAAATACTTAGTTCTTGCTGGGGTATCCTCAGCCGTCGTTCAAAGTCGTGACAATAAATTTATATTTTTGCTGAGACGCAGTTTTAGAAGAAAAGAACGTTGATTTAATATATTAATTGTATATGTTATTTACTTCATAAAAGAAGATATTCAAACAAAGTATAATCAAATAATTGCTGAATAAGCTATTCAAACATATGATAAATTATAATTCCAATAAAATATTGTTTTTATTTAATAATTAAAATGTGCATCATCGTTGACGACGGTCACACAGAAATTATTACTGCTGTGGGTGACTATGACCTTAATGTAAATTCATGTTTTCTGTTCACTGTAGTACTCGTTGGCGAGGTTTCTACTTTTAGCTTCGGTTCGTTTCCTAAGAAGACTCCTGGCAGGACATCGTGACGTCCTGGGTTTCCCCTCCTCTGTTGTACTCTGTGCTGTGGAAGATAATCATTTGGCCGAATGAGCCAGGTTAAAAAAATAAAAATGAAACATATGACAAAGATATTAATTTCTAACTACTTTGGCTGAATGAGCCAGGTTTTAGCAGAATAGTGTACTTGTCTCTTTATGAGTGAAAATTTAAGTCTTTGGTAAAATTTACCAGGAGGCCGAATGAGCCAGAGTACTTGATTCTTTACTAGTCAAAACACAAGTCCCCTATCATATCGAATGTTCCTTCTTTTATACCGAACATACCGGAGCTTTTTGGTGTAGCGCACCGGTATTAATTGCTGTTGTTAACTTCGCCGTAAAGTTGAATTTTTTGTGTTATATTTTGTACTTCTTGTGTATTTTCATGTTTGCATGTTTTTTTTTCCTCTTCTTTTATTTCGCCGCGGTTTTGTTTACTTACTACGCGTAGTTCCGTGTGTATTTGAAATTACAAATTTTAATTAGAACTTTATTATTTAAAATAAAGTATTTTACTTTAATAATTTAAAACGAGGTACATTAGATATATATTATGAAGTATATATTTAATATTATCCAAAAACAAATGTGACGAAAATATTTCATAAAAATAAAAAAACGTGTTTTGTTGATTTGTTGTTGGCGGTGTTTGATTTGTTTTTATGTGTATAAAGAAAGAAAAACTGTGCAAAGTGAGTGTTAAATTGTTTTGTATTTATTTATTTCTAAAATATATGTATATTTTAAATAAATAAATGTGTTTTCTGTTGTAATTGTTTATTTGTTGTTGTGTTTAGAATTCAAATTCAAGTTTTTTTCATTCATAAATTGTAACAACCAGAAATTCATTTTTTTTCCTTCATCGCATATTTAAGATTTTATACATTACATGCATCGATGCCCGCGGCACGCTGGAACCGAGGATCGCAGGTAATGTCCATGTGATTTATGATAAAATATCTTTATTCAATTTCATATTTTTCGGATAAATCCATTGCAGTTTTCTTCACGTGAGTGTTCTTATTTTTACTTTGTGTAGAGGTAGTGGTTAGGTGACATTCAGATTTTCTTTTTCTCTTGTTCTTGATATATGTGACATAGAAATTTACTGTGCAAATTTGTATCGTTACATGGTGTATAAACGAAACCATAAGTTAAAACTAAAAATTTATAAGTTGTAAACAAATAATAAATTATATGAGCTAATAGTGTAAAGAAAAT